CAATCCCCACAGGCTCGGTCGGCCCCAGGATGCTCGTTCCATCCAGCCACCCCGGCCAGAAACCTGTGACCCCTCCCAGTCCTCCTTCCCCCAGCGGCCATGTCCGAAGCCCTCTCCAAAGTCTACTGGTGTTATTGCTTGACTGTCTGCGGGCACATCCAGGTCTTCCTCGTCTCAGCCACCACCTTCCCTCACCAGGACTTCTGGCCTTTAACCTGTCCACTTCTGCCCCCTCTGCTCCAAGACAAAAACGTGACTGTTGCTCCTACGCTTAAACCTTTGTGATGGCTCCCGTCTCAGGACAGAGCTCATCACCCTAAACCGCCTTCCAGCTCTGGCCGACTGCTCCAGTCTCGCTCTGCCCTACTGTCCACGCACATGCTGTTCCCATTCGTTCACTCATTCACTCACCCACTCAGCAAATAACTTCCATTTATTTGTCTGTTTGTTTGTTTTTAGGGAGATTTTTGCTATAGGGCACATGCACTTGCCAGAGAGAGACAGAGAGACAGAAAGCGAGAAGTACCCCCTGGGAGGATGGCCAGGCTGCAATTCCTTCTCCTCCATTCTCCTTTTGAGATCTTGGGCAAGCACGTACAAGTGCCTGGCATGAGTTTTAAGCTGCCAGGTCTGGGACGCAAACTGCGGTTGACTACGTGGGAGTCCAGCGAGCAAAGAACTTTTAAAGATCTGCTATACTTCAAGAATGACCGTGGCTTGGGGACCAGCAGTTAGCGTAATGTTTATGTTGCTGGACTCCCATGTAGTCGACTGCGGTTCGCGTCCCTGACCTGGTGGCTTAAAACTCACTCCGCGTGCGTGTGCGTGCGTGCCCAAGATCCCGAGAGGAGAATGGAGGAGAAGGGATTGCGGCATGGCCATCCCCTCGGGGGGTGATTTCTCGCTTTCTGTCTCTGTCTCTCTGATCCCACATGGCTGACAGAGGTTTGAATCCTCTTGACATTCTTGCCAGGGCCCTGAGGTGCGAGTGTGTCTGTGTGCTCAGGAGGCACCGCGGTGGCGGATGTGGCTGGGGTGGAAGGGAGATCAGGCTGGTGACAGCCAGGTCACAGAGGGCCAGGTGGCGGGCGGCATTTCTAGAGCTGTACGTTGAAGGGGTTAAACTAGATGAGGAGGGAGAGGAGGCAATCAGGCTGATGACAGCTGAAACGCCTGTGGCCTCTTGGAGGGTCACAGTGCTGGACTGATCCCCAGTTCTCACTCCCAGCCAGCACCCTCCAGCCCTGGCAAGTTGAGCCTTGTAGGAGCCGCCAGGCTGACACAGAACTCCAGCTTTCCAGCTACAGGGGCCAGCCCGGAGGGGGCATGGACTGGGCCTTGGTGTTAGAGTCCTTCCTCGGACGTTTCTGAGGGAGGACTAAGGGTCCAGCCGGCACGGTGCAAGATGGCCTGTGTGCTCCGGCGCCCACAGAGGCCGGGTTTCTGGCTGACTGGGAAGGCTGGGGTGGGCGTTGTGCTGGGGGACCTGTTGAGGGTCAGCAGGTGACTCTCCTGCTCTGTATTTCTCTGTCATGAAAGAAAGAAATACACACACACACACACACACACGCATATAATTAAGGAAGTAAGCCAGGCCACTCCAGAGGGAGCAGCTGGCTGTAAGCTCCCCGCCACATGGGGGCGCCATTCCCCAGCAGGAGAAAGGAGGCTAGTGTGAGGGCGCCTTAAAAGACCTTCAACTAGACGAGTGTGACGTTTATTCATGTTGGGTAAATTCACCTTACCAGCTGCAGTAATATATTGCGATTGAAGTTATAAAATAAATTAAAAGAAAGAAAAAAGATGGGAACCAGCAGTTAGCGTAATGGCTATGTCGCTGGATTCCCACGTAGTCAACCGCGGTTCACATCCTGGGCCCGGTGGTTTAGAACTCACGCCAGGCGCGTGTGCATGCGTGCCCAAGATCCCGAGAGGAGAATGGAGGGCGTGACCATCCCCCCTGGGGGGTGATTTCTCGCTTTCTGTCTCTATGTCTCTCTCTGTCTGTCCGGCGAGCGCACGCCCCCTATAGCGAAAAAACCTCTCTCAAAAAAAAAAAAAAAGAAAGAAAGAAAAAAGAAAGACCCCAGAGGACATCAGGCCCAGGGTTCCTGCTCTTCCCACAACTAAGCTGGACCACCTTGACTTGGGTTCCATCAACCAATTTATCACTTCCCGGGACTTCTATCGTGGAAATATAGGACATTGAAAAAAATTTTTTTTAAAGATTTTTTTTTGCCATAGGCCTCATCATTCATCAGAGAGAGAGACAGAGATAGAGGGAAATGAGAAATCACCCCCTTCCCATCCCTGGGGTGATTGTGGCCATTGTACAACCCCTTCTTCATTCTCCTCCTGGGATGTGGACACACCCACACACGCCCGGTGTGTCGCTGCTGGGTCTGAGACTTAAACAGAGGAGTCAGTCATGTGGGATCTAATAACCACCGCGCCACCTGCTGGCCTCCACAGGACACGGGAATATTGTTCTGCCATGGCAAGGTGTTCGGGCCCCATTTCACAGGCAGTGGGAGCCATCCAAGAATTTTTAGTAGAGTGAGAGAGAGAGAGAGAGACAGAGAGAGCAAGAGATGGCCCTAGTCTGTGTTCAGGGAATAAGATTCTGAAAACAGCGTGCTGAATGCAAGCGGAAGCCAGGCTGAGATGGAGAGAAGAGAAGGCAGGAGATGGTGCCTGAACTCAGATTTACACCGGGGAAGCACACAGCCCCTCCTCCGGCCTTGGCTCTAGCAGGAGGGCTCAGGGCTGTCCACACCGCACTAGGTAGAATGGAGACTGGGAATGCGCAGCCTCCAGTGAGAGGGGCGTAGAGCCCCCGCTGCTCACCGAGGCTGCCGTGTTGATGTAGTAGTTTTTCAGGTCCGAGAACTCGGAGACGATGGTGGCGTGTGCTTGTAAGACGGCAGCGCTCATGTACAGGATGCCGGTGGTCCCGTGGTACAGGCTGTCCTGGAAACGCAGAGCAGAGCACATCCCACGTCACTCAGCGAGTACTTTTCTCACTGACTACACAGCCAGAAAGAGGGAGAACGAGGGACAAGCCCGTCCCCCACGCTCCTGCCTTTATACATTGTTTTCGGCAATGTTTCTAATGAAGTATCTGTGTAGTAAACAATAGCAGATTACTAAGCAATAATAATACAGGTTGAGTATCCCTTATCAAACACGAGTGTTTCGGATTTCAGATTTTAAAAAATACGTATTTTTGAATATTTGCAGTCGATAATGTGATAGCTTAGGGATGGGACCCAAATCTAAACACAACATTCTTGTACATTTCATACATACCTTATTCACCATAGACTGCAGGAAACTTTACGCTTAGTTTTGTATGCAACATTTTGACTGTGACCTATCATGTGAGATTACGTGTGGAATTCTCCCTTTGTGGTGTCAGACTGGTGCTCAAAAAGTTTTGATTTTTGAAACATTTTTGGAATTTTTGTGTTGAGAATGCTCAATCTGTATCAATGTTATCTCGCCTTTATCAAGTGCTTATTCTGTGCTAAGCCCTTTTCTCTGTCAACCTTGTCAACTATGAGGTAGGTATTATTTTTTACTGGGTCTTCTGAAAAGTCACGACATATTTTTCTATGCAAAAAAGTGTCATGAGTTTTGGGATGACCCAATGTTTGCCTCATTTTGGTTAAGGCCAATGAATAAATGGCTAAGCCAGGACTTGAACCTAGGCCTCATTAACTCCAAGCCCATGCTCTTACTCATTAGTGTTATGAAGACCTACAACATGCTGGGCTCTGGACCTACCCATAGACACACGTTACCTTATTTACATTTTACTGTTCATTTCATAGAGCTGCTCGTACCTTAATATAGGTCCAGTTCACTGATGAGGAAACTGAGACTTCGCTAACACATGGTAGAGCTGGTAGTCAGGTTAATCTGAGACTAGATTTCCATTTTTGAACCTCAGTGCTGAACTCTCAGCACTGTTCTTCAATTAAACAAGAATGTCACACAGTCATTAAAATGGCCATCGATTCTGGAAGGAACATCACAATGAACAAATCTGCAATCTGCAGCCTCTAATGAAACCTTCAATTGAGGGAAACTTACCACTGGATGAAAGAAAGTACTAGAGAAAGAGTTTATGGGTGACACCAGTCGCCAGGTGTGATGTGACTCCAGGCCAGTTTTGAAGCATTGCTGCTAGATCTGTTTAACTCAGATCCAGTTAAACCTTTAGCGTTAACTTCCAGCTTATGGAAATGTGGTGACTAGGGGAGAAAGGCAGGTCCATACCAGGAAGAAGCAATCGGACAACTCTAGAATGGAAACTTACAGGACTGCTCACTCAGGTTCTTCGACGTCATTGGCAAGGATAGATCTCGCTAGCCCACACTAAAGGTACCCATGACACTTAGCAACTGAGGGCAGCGTCTGGCTCTTGTGAGGATCCATATTGGGATAAGCCAACTACGAAAAGACGTTTTGGAAATAACTGGGGAACTCTGACTGCGACGTGAGTCTTAGATACACTGAGGAATTACTGTTCACTTTGCTTAAGTGTTATAAAGTGAGAAGATTTGCATTTTTTTTTTTTTGAGGCATACTGAAGGATGTGGAATAGAAAGACAAGATATCTGAGATTTGCTTTAAAATTCCACAGGAGGGCTGGCCCCATGGCCTCCTGGTTAAGGGAGCTAGAGCCCACATGGACAACTGCGTAGTTCAAATCCAGCCCTGGTGACTTGGAAATCACAGCAGGTGTGTGTGCATGCATGCCCAAAGTCTTGAAAGGAGGGGCAAATGGAGCAGAAGAGATTGCAGTGTGACCATTCCCAGTGGGAAATGTGTTCTCCCCTCTTCTCTCTGTCTCTTTACGGTAAGCACATGCACTCTCTGACCAAAGAAAAAGGAAAAAAAAAAAAAGAAAGGAAGAAAAAACAAAACAAAACAAAAAACAAGAAAAAACAAGGGCTAGATGAATCTTGAAATATACTGAAACCTTTTTTTTTTTTTTTTGAGGTTTTTGCTGTAGGGCATGTGCACTCACCAGAAAGACAGAGAGCAAGAAATCACACACACACACACACACACACACACACACACACACCCTGGGGGGGATAGCCACACTGCAATCTCTTCTCCACCACTCCTCTCAGGATCTTGGCCACGCACACACACGTACCCGGCATGACTTTAAGCCACCGTGTCTGGGACTCAAACTGCGGTTGACTACATGGGAGTCCAGCGACATAACCGTTATGCCAACTGCTGGTCCCGGAATGTACCAAAATCTTGATAATGCTAGAATCCAGGGTATGGTTACATGAAGGTCCCTAATACAATCTTCTGTACTTCTTTTTCTTTTTTTGAGAGAGAGAGAGATAGATTTATTCTATTGGGTGTGTGTGCTCGCCAGAGAGACAGAAAGCAAGAAATCTCCCCTTAGGAGATGACCACACTGCAATCCCCTCTCCTTAATTCTTCTCTTGGGATTTTAGGCACACACATACAAGCATCAGGCATGAGTTTCAAGCCACCAGGTCTGAGACTTGAACCATAGTCAGCCATGTGGGAGTCCAGTGCCTTAACCACTATACCACCCCACGATCTTCTGTACTTTTATACATGTTTTACATTGTTCAACATAGAAAATATTTAAATGGCTATCAAGATGATGTGACAATGTGAAAAAAAATTAATGATGTCATATGAAATGAAAGCACCTTTATCCAAAAATGATTCAGTATAATTAAAATATGTATGCCTTTTCTGTAAAGTCCATGTGGTATTCCACATGGGAGAATGAGCCTGTCACAGTATTGTGATGGGGCCTTTAGAAGGCAGTGATTTTTTTTTTCCTGCCAGCATTCTTTTCAATGATTTTACCATGAGTAAAGTTTAGAAAAAACATGTCAAAATGTTCTTGATCACACATGTATATTTCTTTCTTTCTTTTTTAAAAGAGGTTTTTGCCTTAGGGTGTGTGTACTGGCTGAAGAGAGAGAGAGACAGAGACAACGAGAGAGAAAGTAAGAAATCACTCCCCAGGGGTTTTGGGCATGCTCACACACACGCCTGGCATGAGTTCCAAGCCACCAGGTCCGGTACTCGAACCATGGTCGGTCATGTGGGAATCCAGTGACATAACCACTACACCATCTGCTGGTCCCACATGTGTTTATTTCTAACAGGGAAGGCAGTGGTGGGAATTAGAAGGGAAGTAAACTCTTGCAGAGAAATGCTTTCTATTTGGTCTAACAGTAAGCATGCTAACATCAAAAATCTTGGTCCCTAGGGGTGTAGCCCAAGAAGTGTCTCTACCCCCTCTCCACACACAGAAGTGCCGCTGCGTCCACCAGAGAGAAGCCACCTGCTTGTTCTTACCAGAACTCTCCAGGACTCATATCGTTTGTAGAAGCCGAGGAAGTAAGACAGCAGGAACATCAGGGAGATGAGGAACGAGGTGAGCGAGACGTACATGACCCATCCTTGCAGCAGCGGGTTTGCTACCTGGGTGGCAGCCACCAGGATCCAGACCCAGAACCCGAATATCTGCAGAGGAAAACACGAAAGAAGAGGCTTCACTTGCTGGTGTGGGACACGATTCCCTTCACAGGCGTCTCTCTTTTATGTTTCTATAAACTCTCAGGTAGTTAGGAGGAAGCAAGAAGGAAACGGGGAAAGAGGGCCCTCTGAGTCACAGTAAAGCCAGGTCCTGTTGTTGGAAAATTCCAGATGTTGACATAGAGACTGTGAACCGAAGGACTCCCAGTCAACTTGGCCTGTGGGTGTATCTTCTCAGCCCGACCAGGGTTGGCACGTACTTTTTTATACAATTCTGAGTAAGTTGCTGATGTTTAAAATGGGATATATCTCATGAAAAATCAAGATTTCTTGTGAAAACAATGGTTCTGACCACAGTAGACCATTATGCCACCAGCTGGCCCTTTCTCCAATATTCCGAGCTCCTCTTCTTCCTAGGTTCTTAGGAAGTCATTGCAGCCCTCCTTTGTTCTCCCTGTCCTCACTTCTGTTAGTTTGTGCTTTTAAACATCACGTAGACTGGTGATCTTAGGAGCCCACCTCATTTGTCTTTGTGGCTGTCAGCCAGACACAATGCCTGCCCATTCTATGTCTCCACTTAGACCTCTCTCTGCAGGGGCCAGCCCTGCACCTGTATGACCTCAGCAGTGAGCACCTCATTAACTTCTGCACTCTAGGCACCTCACTTGTCTCATGCCAGTCTCTACCCTGCCCCTCAAACACCTCATATTCAACAGGTACGAAATCTGAACTCTGCCACTTCCAAATACTTTCAGAACTCACCCTCCTGAGCTCCTGCTGAGAATGACCCATTTGGTGGAGACAGAGTGCTGGGAAGGGGTATACACAGGCCTCCAAATTTGTGCTAATATTCTGTTTCTTAAACTTCATAGTGAGTACACAGGGGTTTTTCTTTCTTTCTTTTAAGGTTTTTGTCATAGGGCTCACTGGAGACAGAGAGAGACAGAGAGAGGGAAAGTGAGAATTCACTCTCCCCAGCAGGGAGACCTATACTGCAATCCCTTCTCATCCATTATCCTTCGGGGATCTTGATAACACACACATACATGCCCAGTGTGATTTTCAAGCCACCAGGTCTGGGACTCGAACTGCAGTTGGCCATATGGTAGTCTAGCATCTTAATCACTATGCTGCCTGCTGGCCCCAGGGGTTTATCTTCTATAATGCAAGAAGACAAATTTGAAAAAGAAAAGCCTGTTGACTGTGAGACCATGGAGATTTGGGGTGAGGGGGGTCCAATGATTACTCCTAAATTTTGTGGTTTGGTGAAATTACAGAAACTTTCTATAAATTTACAAAAGAGTTGTTGGTGTACGTGACTTACATTTCTGTCCATCTCAAGACATAGCTCTTTCCCTAGTTCTCTTGCTTTGCAACATAAATTTTAGAATCAGCTTGTTGATATCTACAATATCTATCTACTGGAATTTTGTTTTAAGTTTATTTATTTCTTCCATGAATGAGAGATATTAGAAAGAAAGAGACAGATGAACAGAGAAAGTAAGAAATCACTCCCCAGGGGTTTTGGGCATGCTCACACACACGCCTGGCATGAGTTCCAAGCCACCAGGTCCGGTACTCGAACCATGGTCGGTCATGTGGGAATCCAGTGACATAACCACTACACCATCTGCTGGTCCCACATGTGTTTATTTCTAACAGGGAAGGCAGTGGTGGGAATTAGAAGGGAAGTAAACTCTTGCAGAGAAATGCTTTCTATTTGGTCTAACAGTAAGCATGCTAACATCAAAAATCTTGGTCCCTAGGGGTGTAGCCCAAGAAGTGTCTCTACCCCCTCTCCACACACAGAAGTGCCGCTGCGTCCACCAGAGAGAAGCCACCTGCTTGTTCTTACCAGAACTCTCCAGGACTCATATCGTTTGTAGAAGCCGAGGAAGTAAGACAGCAGGAACATCAGGGAGATGAGGAACGAGGTGAGCGAGACGTACATGACCCATCCTTGCAGCAGCGGGTTTGCTACCTGGGTGGCAGCCACCAGGATCCAGACCCAGAACCCGAATATCTGCAGAGGAAAACACGAAAGAAGAGGCTTCACTTGCTGGTGTGGGACACGATTCCCTTCACAGGCGTCTCTCTTTTATGTTTCTATAAACTCTCAGGTAGTTAGGAGGAAGCAAGAAGGAAACGGGGAAAGAGGGCCCTCTGAGTCACAGTAAAGCCAGGTCCTGTTGTTGGAAAATTCCAGATGTTGACATAGAGACTGTGAACCGAAGGACTCCCAGTCAACTTGGCCTGTGGGTGTATCTTCTCAGCCCGACCAGGGTTGGCACGTACTTTTTTATACAATTCTGAGTAAGTTGCTGATGTTTAAAATGGGATATATCTCATGAAAAATCAAGATTTCTTGTGAAAACAATGGTTCTGACCACAGTAGACCATTATGCCACCAGCTGGCCCTTTCTCCAATATTCCGAGCTCCTCTTCTTCCTAGGTTCTTAGGAAGTCATTGCAGCCCTCCTTTGTTCTCCCTGTCCTCACTTCTGTTAGTTTGTGCTTTTAAACATCACGTAGACTGGTGATCTTAGGAGCCCACCTCATTTGTCTTTGTGGCTGTCAGCCAGACACAATGCCTGCCCATTCTATGTCTCCACTTAGACCTCTCTCTGCAGGGGCCAGCCCTGCACCTGTATGACCTCAGCAGTGAGCACCTCATTAACTTCTGCACTCTAGGCACCTCACTTGTCTCATGCCAGTCTCTACCCTGCCCCTCAAACACCTCATATTCAACAGGTACGAAATCTGAACTCTGCCACTTCCAAATACTTTCAGAACTCACCCTCCTGAGCTCCTGCTGAGAATGACCCATTTGGTGGAGACAGAGTGCTGGGAAGGGGTATACACAGGCCTCCAAATTTGTGCTAAGACAGAGAGAGGGAAAGTGAGAATTCACTCTCCCCAGCAGGGAGAGCTATACTGCAATCCCTTCTCATCCATTATCCTTCGGGGATCTTGATAACACACACATACATGCCCAGTGTGATTTTCAAGCCACCAGGTCTGGGACTCGAACTGCAGTTGGCCATATGGTAGTCTAGCATCTTAATCACTATGCTGCCTGCTGGCCCCAGGGGTTTATCTTCTATAATGCAAGAAGACAAATTTGAAAAAGAAAAGCCTGTTGACTGTGAGACCATGGAGATTTGGGGTGAGGGGGGTCCAATGATTACTCCTAAATTTTGTGGTTTGGTGAAATTACAGAAACTTTCTATAAATTTACAAAAGAGTTGTTGGTGTACGTGACTTACATTTCTGTCCATCTCAAGACATAGCTCTTCTTTT